TTTTTCGACTATCAGTGAACTCTTTTAATTCATTGGGCTCCTACCCAGCAGGAAAAATTTTCAGATCCCTGAGGAGTGAAAAAAGGAAAAATGACAGTCCATCGCAAATGTACTAAAATGAATCCTGTATGTAAACATATCTCTAAAATTGTATTATATTAATATCGGCCTTATGATTCCACTTCATTACGATTCATTGCTGCTAATGAACATGAAATGGCACTCGAATCGTGAGTGAGGACTGCATAATGATGAGTAATGTGTATTGTTCATATAATTATGGCATATGGCTATTTAATGATGATCATCATGCAAAGCAATCAAATACTCGCATTATCGTTACTACTATTCCATGCTGAAATTGTTGCGCGCAGATTTCAACAATTACTCAGCAGCATCATTTATCTCTATTAAAGTCATTATAAAATGCCTATCAGGAACTAGCGCATATTCTATTTCGAAAACATCTCCGACTTGTGTTTTTCAAATCTGTTTCTCTTTAGCACACACCGAAAATGACCGACGATTGCAATTCTGATCAAAACAACAAAATCGACTGCGCCAAATGCGGAAGAAACATAGTTTGAATCTGATTGTGAGTGAAAATTTCTATGCTATACATGTTTGGATATGAAATGTTCGAGTAACGTCTAATCAGGATGTAGTTTTCTTATGCAATGAATTTCACTAGAATGAGCAATTATCTGATGCTTTTACTCGTTTATCTAGCGAATAGTTAGTTCTTCAAGTAGTGTGCACATAGTGCATGGAATGGATGAATGATGCCTTATAATAAAACGATGAATTGACGATGTGAGGTATGCACAATTGAGCACATCATTATCTTTACTCTTCGATATGAGCACGACGTATTGTTTGTAATTTCTCATACACAACACCCCAACGAGCAATTTCATTCGTTCACTTATAACATCCATTCATCATTTATTGCTGTAGACAGCATTTGAATATTACTTATGCTATCAATATTTGATGACTGCTTCAATTGATTCTATATGCTCGGAACACTGAACTAATTATTCTTAATCTTTGAGTACGTTCCTTCTTAAGTGACCTCGCAAAACACTGAATCAAATCAGTGAAACCATATAACAGCAACTATATTGCTATATTGCAAAATAATGACACTAGATTAATCATCCAAAAAATTCTCACTCTCTCATAAGATAGCATCGATTTGATTGTCATGTGCCAACTAGCTGAAAGGCGATGAATCATTCGGTCAACGTTTTCCAGCAATAAACCCAAATTAATGCAATGCAAGCTTCAGATTTTAAATGGGAAACAGAAAATTCGCTAATTTTCCACTGTTTTCATTTTTCAATTCTGGTTTCTGTACTGCAACTTCTCAGTTATTCCGTTGAAAAAGTTTAAATTCGAAAAAGTCACATAAAATCTACGAGTATGAAAATGAAAGAATGTTTTTTTTCGGTTATTTTCTGGTCATTAGAATTTCCTTCACTTACAGCCGTGTTTTGCCACACAGCTGCCTGCGCGCAACTTGGAATGTTTGATCAGTACTGAGAAATACAAAACATAAGGTGATGATAAGTTCTTACTAGTCATGCGGAATAATTACTCGGAAATGCCTTATTGTCATCGACACGATAAAAGTTTCAAATCGATATCTTCTATAAAGAAATGCATAGAATTCGTCTCGTTTTGTTGCTGCCAATCGAACATTTCGCAATCTATAAGTGAAATTAAAATGTTTCGCGCATAACATGTCAGAATCACTTCAATCAGTTTTCATCAGCAGACAATTTGTTCGTCATTTCTTTTATGTGTGAAACAAATTGAAGTCTAATAGTAGAAGAATCCCAAAAAATGGTTAACAGATTCTATTTGATTGGATGCTTATTACATGTTCGGAGATTGACTTACAGAGTCATTCAGACGATTTGATTATTAATTATTTCATTCGGATTATTAATTGCGCTGTCAGAAAGGCAAGAACACAACATACTGTCTCAAACAGCCAAGACGGATTGGATGGAACAACTGAATCATGGATCAATTTCCAACGCAGTATGTTTCTAGCCTCTGCGGAAAAAAAATTGTTCGATTATCTAAAAACTCAACGAACTTCGGACAAACTAATGATTATTCACGCAATTTATCAATGATTTTATCGCAAGTGTTGATCACCAATTCCCATGCACAAAACAAGAACTCTACTTTTATTAATCAAATGTCAGACTGTCTAAGAGCAACACCGAACTTTTCATCTGTAATCACAAAACGACTGTGGTTCGGTAGAGGCGATGTAAACACTTTCATGGAACAGTTTGTTAAGACAGCGCACCTCAAAACATCGATATTCTCCTCAATCGCACTCCGTAAATCAGCCCAAGTCAGCACCCTATCTCCTCAAGGACCACCATGATTTTGTAGAAATGATGCAATAAGCAACTTTCAGTGAATGATCCTCGGAAATGCTCCCTCAAAGACCATTAAATTGGCATATTTCGGCGATTCTCTTTGAGAGCGCAATTCTCAGTGCGCTTATAAAATTCCATGTTAGGTTGCTCATAAAAACCATTATCTGGATCAATGGAACGTATCTCAAGTGTTGTTTATGCGAAGAATAATGATGCAGTTGGTTGAGATGAACTTAACCGAAACTGTTTTGATTTATTATTGTCAGTTGCATCTAGCAGCTACGAAGCACTCAATTTCATGTTTTCAATCTCTTTATAACGAACAAATGCTGCATTTATTGGCATTCGATCCATTCTGGAATGCAATATACGTTTGGGAAATTAGTTCAAATCCAATTCACTTCGTAAAATTATTTCAAATAACGGAAATCCGCAATATCATTCCAAACGACTTTTAATATGCCTTTATTGTGTTGCACAAGTTACTTGTTAGTGATCCATTAGCACTTATTCATTCACATTTTAATTTTAATAACATAAGTTTTATTGGCCGAATTATGTAGCGATTATCTGCAAGTAAAACGAGCAATGCACTGTGCGACTCCGATGATATCAACAATAGATCTGATCATGAGGAACTAATCGAAATGATCTCATTATCAAACTTGAGCAAGAATATTTTACTTTAACCAGCGCAAATTCTCAATGTCAACGGAGAATTTAGNGAGGAGTACGGGTTTTACGAGTAAAAATTCTAGGGACGTCTAAATCAGAATGGTGGCTTGCATCCAGCTGAGATGGCGTATTCATGAGTGTCCCCGTCATCCATCAAATAACAATGCACTCTCGAATTGATTATTGCTATACGGCGATGAGACGAGCAGATGGATATCGGTCATTCGAGTGCCATAATCAAGTGCGATTTATCATACTACTTATGCAATTATATGCTTCTTTTGTTTAACACTAGCACATTTATCTCACATAAAAACGAATATATCTCCAAATCTATCACTTATCCAATAATACGTTCTCTTTGAGGTGAACGATTTTTATTGATATTCAGCGCGTATGATTGATGAATGATTTTTTTAGTGCCTCAATATTGCAGCTTAATAATTTGATGTCAGTCAGATGAATTTTTCATAGAGTGCAATGACGTCGAATTGTACTCATAAATACCATAATTATTTATGGTTTTCGTGTCCCTCAGTTTCATATTCTACCAAAGAGAAGTGCAAAAACGGTGTGATGATCGGTTTCGCAAAAAAAAACAGGAACACCAGAAAAAACAGTGGAATAGCTGCAAAAGAAGGCGAAAACAAACGAACCCATAACGATTAGAGTTAATGAGCCAGTTGAAAGTGCCAACGCAAATAATGGATCCGTCTCAAGGCGGCAGTAGTATGAACCTGAATCGTAGGCGAGCACAGATAAGAAATGTAATGAATAGAATGGACGCAGCAACTGGATT